AAAAAAAAAAAAAAAAAAAAAAAAAAAAAAATATATGTATATATATAAATATATAAGTTACAATCATAAAAAAATATGTATAACCTTAAAATTAATGAATAAAAAAAAAAAAAAAAATGTAACTTAAAAAAAGGAATAAAACAATAAATTGAAGTATTATTTTTTAGTTATGGAATTTGTTTAAAATTTGTGAATGAAAAAAAAATGATGTGTATGCACTTTTTTGAAAAAGTATTTTATCTATTTTTTCGGTAGAGATAATGCATAAAAAATAGTAGAAATAAAAAGAATAAAATAAGGTAAACCATATATTTATTTCCCTAAAAATAATACATAATGAAAAATATTATAAATAAAAGAAATAATTTATTTTTATTTTTATTTTCTTTTATTTACCTTTGTTTTTAAAATATTTTTAACACGTTTATAAACTCCCGTTAATTTTTTATTTACGTTATCCATCCTATCAGACTATGACAAGAGAAATTATAAATTTGAAATAAGAAATATATGAAATAATCAAAAATAAAAAGAAAAATAAAATTACTAATATATATATATTTAAAATAAATATTCTTTAATTTTACTAAATTATCAAGTAAAGAATTAGAAGTCTTTACTTCATCTCTCAAATTAGAACCAATCTAAAAATTTAGATTTAATGGAAAAAAAATGAAAAATTAAGTTTTTAAAGTTAAATACAATAATTGTATAAAATAAAGTTATAATTAATTTATTATTATATGAAAAATAAATATTTAAAATGATAAATATAAATTTAGATATATTTTCTTTTCTCTTTTTGTTTTATTAATTAATTATATATCATCTTACTAATTTTAAGTTTTGGACTTTTTTTTCTAGATCAAGTATATAATTATCATTTTCTTCTAAATATATATTTATATTTTCATTGTAAAAATCATTGCTATTTTTTTTCTTTTTTCTAGAATTAAAATCCATATTATATAAATATTAGATTATTTTTGTTTGTTAAAGTGTATCTATTATAAAATATCTTTTATTATAAAAAGTATAATTACTTTTCTTTTATGAACAGTAGAACTTCTTCAAAATGCTTTTTTAAAATTTATCTTTTTTTTTTGTAACTATTTTTTTTTTATTTTTTTATTTCCTATTTATTATTTACAAATTAATAATACTTCACAATTAAGTGTATTTATGAAATTTAGAACTTTGCTTAATAAAAAAAAGTTCAAATTTTCATATAAATTTATTGTATAAATATTTTAAAGTAAGGTAAATTTTTTTTTATATTTAATTCGATTTTATTTTTGTTTTTTTTTTTTTTTTTTTATAACAAGAAAATGAAATTTTTTTTAATACATATTAACTTGTATGAGTGTATTTAAATGATTTTATTTTTTTATAAAAATATTTAATATTAATATTTTTTATTATATACACTATCATTATATTATATAATGAAGAATATTAATTTAAATAGTAATTTAGTTTTAAAATGAAAGATTGAAAAAAAAAAAAAAAAAAAATTTGTAATAATAGTGAAATATGATTTAATTTCATTTATAAATAATATATTTCCACTTTTTTTTATTTAAATATTTTGCCTTTTTTTTTTTTTTTTATGTTATTCATAAGTGTATAACACAGATATTAATTAAACATATGTTTTATTATATATAATTTCGCTTTTTTTTTTTTTTTTTTTTTTT